CTGCAACGTTAGTATAAAGTTAAAACATTTTTTTAAAATAACAATAGTTATTGATAATGTGTTTATTAATAAGGTGCTTGCGAATTTTAAGATATGTGGAACATTTTAAAGGCACAATATGTAAGATTTTTTTATTAAAATATCCAAAAACCACTAGAACAGTGTTATTTATTTTGCTGACTTTTTTATTTTTATTTATTTAGTCATTTATCAGAAAGCTTTTATCCAAAGCGACTTACAAATGAGGATAACAGAAGCAATCAATTGTAGTATTAAAACAACTAAAAACAGATCCAAAACTAATAGCTAAAACTTTATAAATACAACCTATACACATTTTAAAAATAAAGAGATTAAATAAAAATGACAAATGCATACAACAATTTCAAAACTTAACATTTAAATGAAAAACAAAAAATAAAGCTAAAAACAATTCAAAATATTAAAGAACAAAAGGTATGAGAGTATAATAATGATTCTAACATAACACTAAGCCAAACTACGGTGACCGAGAAGTGCAAAACAAATCACAATTCTGAAAACAAAATAACAAATTACAAACGCAAAAAGTCTAAAAAACGAAATAACAATCCAGAAAGCACAACAACAATTCAGAAAACATTAAAACAAGTCAGAAAACACAACGACAAATCAGATCTTTAATAATTGAATTCCTAACATTGGAATGAGGTTAAATATTTTAATATTTATTCAATATTTAATTATAAATATTTTCATAAAACATTAAATTCATGTGAATGAAATTTAATGTTTGAAAAAAAACTTTCATACTCATCCTGTAATTTGTTTACTGGTAACACATTAAAATAAAGTTATTTTTGTTAAAAATCAGTTAACTACACAAGTTAACATGAACTAACAATGAAAAATACTTCTAAAGAATGTATTAAAGGGGTCATATGATGCGATTTCATTTTTTCCTTTCTCTTTGGAGTGTTACAAGCTCTTGGTGCATAAAGAAGATCTGTAAATTTGCAAAGACTAAAGTCTCAAATCCAAAGAGATATTCGCTCATTTTATTTTCAGCATTTACTAATATATTATCAAAATCATATTTGGGTCTGTTAATATTTATATTTAATGGACTTATGCCATCATTAATGAACAGTTGTATTTTTATTAACATTAACAAAGATTAAAAATACTGTAACAAATGCATTTCTCATTATTGGTTAATGTTAGTAAATGCATTAGCTAAAGTTAATTAATGGGATCTTATAAAGTGTTATTGGTTTACCCAACAAAACCCTCATTGTTTCAATCCAAGTCATTAAGGGTAATGCAATAAACACTACTCAAGTTGCAACACCAAGTTAGCAGCCAAGCATTCTCCGTTTAATCAAATTCAAGCCCAGTCTCTATGTATAGTCACGTATAAAGTACTTTAACTTTTCTATATTATTATTTTTGGTTACTATTATAAATCAAACTGTCAAGTGCGTGTGGACTATTTGTGAGATTTTATTTTTATTCTTCCACATTCATGACTCCATACTAAACACATTAAATTATTTTTCAATGACCCACTTTTTCAACCTTCTTGCAGTTTACAAGAAAAAAAATAAAACGCAAATTCTGTATAATAACCCTCTTAAATTGTTTAATAATAAAAAAGGCAGTCAGCTCATTACCCTTACAAAAAAAAAGTGATGCTATCAGATGGTAAAATATAATGATACTAAATACCATAGTACTAAATGAATACGATCTCCATACACCATAAAGTACCTTCAAGGTACTTTAAAACATGTCATGTGGTATTAATTTCTCAAAAACATGGTATTTGTGACGAAACGAGGAGGACAGAGGATTCAAAGGCAGAGGATTAGAAGCAAAGAAATGTTATTCTCCAAAAGGGAACCAAAACAAATAAAACTGAAACCAAAATCGTGAGCCAGTCTCTGGGGGTAATCCAACTTCGGTCGGCAGTGTGATGCGGACCAACGGAGAAGATTGCCCAAGACTCAGCGCTCGCCCAAGACCAACAACCTGAGAGTTGAGTGAGGCAGTCCTTCTCTCTATGCGTCCTGGGAGCAGGGAAGACAGAGCTGAGTGTAACACCACAGAACGAAACAGCCAGGACACAAAACACCTCGAACACAAAACAAGCTACTCACAACAAGGACTAGAAGGAAGAGGAATATAAAGGAAAGGGTGTCGCTAATAAGCGACAGCCGTTTCTAGCCAATTTGACGCCCTAGGCGAAATCCCTATTGCCCCCCCCAAATTATATATATATACTACTTTTTTATCTTTATCTGTTTTTTGTTCAATTTTTTTGTTGTTGTTTCTTGAAACATTGATTTAAAGTGTCAGTTATTGCATTATTATTTCAGTCAAACCTATAAAACCCTTTTGTTACCCCAAACTACATATAAAAGCTTTATCAGTGGCATAAAAGTAACC